GGTTTCTCATAAATAACTTTTGCAAATCTATATATGTATCACGTATGAATGAGTCTCTTCTCTTTAGTCTTTATACTAATTAAAGCCGCAATATATCACATGGCAAGTCCAAATTATTAAAAAAAATTCCCATTTATTCAATGCCTTCCCATTCTTGCGAATATTGTATTCGACATTACAAGAAAAACAATGGTCAAGGAAAAACAAAATACATTACGAGAAACGATAAAAGGCAGTGTATTATAAAGCTACAGTAAACTATATTTTTAAATAAACGGTTTAAAAACCGAGGAGTATATTCTCGTAAAGTTAACTAATAGAAAAGTTTCGTTTTTATCTGTAAAGAAAACAAAAATAAAATAAAAAAAAACAGAAATTTCAACTCGAAAGAATGGGTTTGACTTTTTTTGTGTTCCTCCTTGAAACCAAAGATTCTTCCGGTCAAACCTTTAAATCTCTCTGCTTATTTTTTTTTTTGGCATTAGCCATTAGGTAGTAATCACTTATTAATAAAAATCATAAAATTAGGTTGCGAAAGTATGGAAAGGTTTAAATATTTATGTGAAGTTAGGTCAAAATGTAAAAAAAGAGAATATAATAGAAAGCAACTGTTCTCTCCCAATATCTAATTAAGAAAGTTATATATATATTAAAGAAAAATAATGACTGGTCTGATCTGATTGTGAAGACTGAAGAGCATTCATTGGATTTTTTTATCTTCTTTTCTCCGCCACTAGAGTTATAGATCACTACTTGGTTCATCATGCCACTTATATATTTCCACGTGTCTGTATTTTTTTTTTTTTTTTTGTTTCTACTCTATTATTGAAATTCTTATTCCTCCTACGTTCGACTTTCAAGTTGATGAGAGAAACAATACAAAAGATCTGAAAAGGTTCTAAACAGAACAAACGTACCTTTGACAATTTGGCATTTGTGTGTTGTGAGATTTATCAATAATGCATGCATGCCTAGTCTTTTTACTTTATATGGATGGAGTACTCAGTTTTTTTTTTTTACCTACTGGTATATATAGTAAATTCATATTTGTTTTATTGTGGAATTCTAATTTCTTGGTCCATAGTCTAGTCGGATTTGTTTAGGATCGTGTTGGTGGCTAATGAATTTCCAGCCAAATGATGTTGGCATACTCGAATTCAAAACCAACAACATTTACTTTTATCTTTTGTACTGTTGGTTGAGCTACTCGTACAGTACTTAAGTTGTTAACTTAACGAATTTTGATCGGAAATATGTTAAAACCATTGCAAAAGATCAAACACTAAACCAAAAAAAGAACCATTCTAACTAAGAACTTTATTCAACTGATGTTTTTTTTTTGCTTACATAATTCTTTCTATATAATCTCCAAATTTACTTTTGTTGATGAATAAGTGATAAAATTTTTTTCACAAGAACAGAAAAGCTGTTGCAAAAACTTTTCAAGGCATCCACTGATCCAGCTAGCATCCACGATTTTGTGTGATGAGTATAACTAATTAAGGAACAACTATATAAACATTTCGCTGATAAAATCAAGAACCAATGAGTGTATAAAATAATGTCTACTAGAGTAACATCACATGTTACAGATAAGGTCGTTTGTTTATGTATTTAACGGATAGGATTATATGAATAACGCACAAAAAAACTTAGTAACTTATATGTAAAAATTTCGCATCCACTTGTAATACACTGTAGAGGTTTTATAATGCATATGATATATATTAAACTAAAATATGGAAGAAACTATATAAAAAATAACAATTTTGAATAAAATGTAACTAATATTTACATATAAAACGGACCGTTTATAAATTGGTTGAAGTAATCGGGGTATCTGTCGAGGTAGGCCAGAAACAATTTGGGGAGAACACAGAATGTGAATTGTGGTTTCGAGGTTTCATGTTATTATTTCTTCTTCCATTATTTAAAACTGTACTATAGTATCAGTGGAATAAAATCAATGAAAATATTATACGAAAAGACATAGACAAGACAACCTAAATGATGATCAACGACCTAACCCTATGATTAGAGTCCACACAAATAAATTTCTTCCTCTATATAATTGCTTTACACTTTACAGATTTTGATTTGTTAAACATGATCGTACCATCCCAATATATGTGTGTATGAGTGTATCTCTACTAACGCGATATTAGCCACTAGCATATCCTTAGATAGTATTCGTGCAATGAAAAAGATTTTAGTGTATACTGGTATTGACAATAGGTCGTCTATGATTTAAGATACTGATTTAACAACTCAAAACACCTTTTACAAACACTTATTACTTCTGATCTTAAAAGCGATTTTGCTAGTCTAGATAAGAAGGTGAGAGCAAATTTCAACCATAGATAATGAATGATCTTGTTCCACTTGCTAGGTTCTCAAGTTACATTGGGACTTAAGACTTGCATTTATTTGATATTTACTATTCGTTTACCAAAAGCTTTCTCTCTTTATTCACACATTAACAAGAACCAATAAATTAGAGAAAGACTTTAAGATGAAGAAAAAATAGTAACAGGAAGCTCACAGCCCTAGCTTCTAACAAAAGTTAAAAGAAAAAACAGAGATGGTTCGTAAAAGGAATCTCGTTATCTTTTCACCAGTTGGTTTCTCTTCAAGGCAACAAAGAATCTCTCTGGGTACCTCAAGCTACATTTACATTACAATAATCTTCTTTAATTACAGAAAGAACCATTTGAAGAACAGAGCAACAACGAAGCTCACAGTATGGATGCAAATGCAGTTTTAAAGTAGTCTTGAATCTTATTAACACACCACAAGGTCAGAACTCAAAAGTAAATGTCTGATTGCTTGGATTGCGCCTTTAGATCCTTTAGTTTCTTCAATATGTTGCTGAAGTAATCCTGCAAGTACTTCTCTAGCGTCACCATATCCTTCTGATCCACACCTAGTAGACTATTAGTCTCGGTCATAGGAGCAGAGAACACCGTGTCACTCGAGAGAACCTAAATGTGCCCGTGTCACATATATGTTAGAAGCGTTGATTTCAGTTTATCTGACAAGCTACTATGAAACTAAAAGCATCATCGTTAGGTGATAAATGCCGAATTTTACCTCTGAGAAGGCCAGTCTATCCGCGACATCATTTGTCCATTGGAAGAACCGAGTTAACTGCCGTGTGACTCTCAATACAGAAACTGGAACGGTTGTTACATTTGCATCTTGCCCAGCAAGTCTCTCGCATAGTGTTATCACCTGACAAGACAATAGGGTAGTGAAAAAAGGATATGCTTTAGTAACAATTCTCTATTTATTTCATACAAAAGAGGCGGTAACTATGGCCCTGCTTACTTCTTGGGTTGTCCATGCACGAGGGCCAGCAAAAGTTAGAAGCTTTCCGTTGATTTTCTCATTGCGTAAAGCAATAAGTGTCAGCCTAGCAATATCCTGTTATAGCATGAGGAACATGTTTAAACATTTTGTGTGCTTCACTAACATTTTGACACAAAGAAATGAATTACAACTACATTGTCCACACACCTGTGTATCCATGTAAGCAACACGAGTTGGTGCATCTGTTCCCCAAACCGATTTTTCCTCAAGAATTGGAACTGCATACTGCCCAATAAGACCCTGCATACGCATAGTATATACTCTGGATTAGACATCAATCAGCCATTACCCTCAGTTTCAGGAGTTAAAAAGGCACAAGAGATAGATAAAGGGAGAGAGAGGCTTACTTGCATGAAACCGCATAACCGGATGGTGATGTGGTTTAAACCAGAATCCTGAAGAAACTTCTCAGTACAATACTTAATCTCCATGAGAGGAACCTCAGGATGCTTATCGCAATTGTGGATTGAGTAGAAGACATATTTCTGAATCCCCATTGCCTTTGCACATTGTATCAGAGCAACTTTTCCTTCCCAATCTACCTAAACCGAACACACATAAATTTCCAATCACATTGGAACCCTCAATATATATATCTGTCTAGCAAACTTGCATAACTAAATTCACCAATCAAAATTGAATCTTTAACAAACAAAAAAAGAAGAAGCATACCGTCTTGATGGGTTCTTCGGGACGTCCGGTTGCACAATCAATAACAGTGTGGACACCGACCAAAGTCGCCGGAATTGTCTCCGGTTTACTAAGATCCGCCTACACCACACAAAACTCCGGTATAATTCTCTCTTGGACAAAAATAAATAAAGGAGAGGATGTGAATACGTACGTTGACGACGGTGGCGCCCCAATCACGGAGGAAATCGGCGGGAGCTGGTCTAGGTCGGACCAAGCACCTAACGTCATACCCTTCATCTAAAGCTCGGCGGACGATTTGTCTTCCCAAAGTTCCGGTGGCTCCAACCACCAAGATACTCGTGGGTCGGACAGGTGTCCCCGGAGCAAGATTAACCGCTGCAGCACTGCATGTAATCGGGACTACCGTTGATAGTTTCCGGTTAAGGGACGAGGATGAGGAAGATGGGAAGCTCGGAATCGAATTGTCCGGAGTGAGAGAACGTCGGCAAGAGAGACGCTCGGAAGAGTTATGATGGTTGAGAGTGCCACGTGTAACAAGCTGAGCGGGGAGCCTGAGAGAAGCCATCATTACCAGTGTGGAAGACAAGAGAAGAGAAGAGAAGAGAGGAGGACAAGTGAGAGAGATAGGAGAGACGACAGTTGATGTGTGTTTGGCCACGTCAGCTCCTGGATTGGCTTTCATTTGTTGCCACGGAATTAATTATATCCAGCTGTAAAGTCAATCTGGGCTTGATGTCCAAAACTATAGAAGTCAATTTGGGCCTGTTAAAACTAATAGGCCGGTACGTGAGCTATTATTGTTTTTACATGGAAACCCTAATGTAATAATACGTCAACGCAGGAGCAAGATGATGAAGCACACGCAAACAATTTTCGCAAAGGTGAGCACTTTGATTTTTCATTCATCTTCTGGAATTACAAAACCATTTTAGAAAAAAACGTTTGCATATCCCGCGTACAGCGGTTTAGATTTGAAATGAGGAAAGCCGCCAACAAAGGTAGCAACATAAATTTATTTAGAACATGTTCTTTTTTCTTATCGAAATATTCGACGACTAAAAGAATATTAAAACTCGAGGTACAAAACCAGATAAACGGTGTGCATTGAATTGGATCATACCCCATATTTTGGCAAACACACAAAATCTGTAGCAGGAATTTGATGATTTATGCAGACAAGGAACACGTAATTTGTCAAAGTCAGTCTAGTTTTGCAATGACCGCATCAACTACCTCTTGAGTCGTGCTTGTTCCACCAAGATCTTTCGTCCGGCACTTTCCTTCAGCGATGACTTTTTTCACTGCTGTTTCAAGCCGGTCAGCAAATGACGGAAACTGAAGGTGTCTAAGCATCATCGCTGATGAGAGAAGCAATGCCACTGGGTTTGCTTTGTTTTCCAATACTATCTTGTCTTTCCCAACATTACCTGCTGATGCACCTTGCTCAAATACTGCATGGTCAGCCCCAACATTTCCTGTTTTTTTTTGTATTTAATGTCGCAGATTTAGAATAATTCTTTATCCAGTAATGTATAGCTAGAGGGCGTAATGAGATAATCAATACAGGACGTATTTACCTCCAGGCATGACTCCTGTGCCTCCAGCAATACCAGCAGCAGTGTTTGCAACTAAATTCCCATAGAGATTGGGTGTTACCTGCAAAGGATTTTATAAATTGCCGTTATCAAAGGGGAAAAAAAACTAAAGGAAACTAGTACATACAGTAATGAGAGAGAACATAACAATTAACAAGATAATGTTAATAGCAACAGTGAAAGCTACTGCCATACGGAACAATAGTTAATGCGAGTCGAAGTTAAGTTCAGCATCCAGCACTTGTATATTCATGCTCAGTTGGAGCTTATCTAAAACATAGAGCTAGAAGCGATATAAAGGTAGCTATACTAGCAAACCAAGACAACATAAACAAACAAACAGGTTGTTTAATTAGCCGAGAATTCCGTGCTAGATACATTTAGCTTTGTCCCCAACTTATTTTCAGCAGAGTAAATTAGTAATTATATAAATAGACAAGGCCACATAAGTACACTTTAACAGATTCCCGGAAAGCCTGATATGCAAATGACGAGAATAGTTAATTAGAATGTGGCAATACAGTACCAGTCCATTCCAATATGCAAATGGGGCAATTAAGTAGTATACGAGAACACAACATCAGAGAATATCATAAATTGCCAGTGGATAGCTGAGAAAATTCTTATGTATATAACTCCGAAACATACCATGACATCGAATTGCTCTGGTTTCGCTACAAGTTGCATACAGCAGTTATCAACAATGATTTCATTGTAGGTGATGCTCGGATATTTTTTAGCAACCTCCCGACAAGATTCCAAGAACAAACCATCCGCAAGTTTCATGATGTTAGCCTTATGCACCGCTGTAACTTTCTTCCTGTTGTTCAGGTAGGCATACTCAAAAGCATACTTTGCAATACGCTCCGAACAGAACTTCGTGATCACCTAGCAGAAGAATAGGATCAGAACAATCACGCATAATATTAAAAAAAACCACTTGCAAACAAAGGTGATAAGCAACACGTATCTGCAAATATACACGAAACGTATACTCACACAATAGTGATAAGCAACTAGCTTAGAGAAACCGCACTAAGAGGATCATGTTTAAGAAGATGGTAAGTAACCAAGAATTAGGAATAACTTTCCATCATAGCCAGCTAGTCCATAATCATCAAATTAGGTATAAAATGTTCATCCATCATGGTCTTATTTTCAACTAGATGGATCATGTCAAATTAATCTTAAAGAACATGTCAGATCAATCTAATTTGATGAAATATACCAAAGTTAACCTAAAACGCTAATCTCCAAGCTCAGATTCCACAAAATTCAGATTAAAAACCCATATATCTTAAGGCCATAATCCAAAAGAAGGCTAAACTAAGAACAAAAATCGGAATTCTCACCTTAAGACTCTCAACAACACCAGGAACAACCTCATGCTCAAGCCCCGCATACTCACCTTCAGTGTTCTCTCTGATGACAACGATATCGACATTTTCATGGCGAGTAGGTAAACCAGGCAAATTGAAACAGTTGACCAGAGACGCAAAGAGGTCAAGCTCTTTCCTAAGCTGGACGTTAAGCGAACTCACACCACCACCAACAGGAGTCTTAAGCCCACCTTTCAAACAAACCTTGTTCTTCCTTATGGACTCCATCACTTCCGGAGGCATACGGCTCATTTCTCCGTGAACATCGTACTTCTCGAAGAAGATCGGCGCGTGCATCGCTTCCATCACCTGCTCCACGGCGTTCGTCACCAAAGGACCAATTCCATCTCCAGGAATCAGCGTCACCGCTCGTGGTGCTCCGTCACCGGGTCTAGGCATGTAAGTCACGGATCGGGTCTGGATACCAGATCCATTCGCGTTTCTAGCGAGATTCTTGAGGAGAGTTAGCGATCGGCGAGACATCTTTGCTCTGCAATTTTGGGTTTGAATCTAAAAAAAAAAGGATTTGATCGACAGAGAAGAAGAAGAAGAAGAAGATTCGCCCTTTGGCCTTTGGGAGCTGGAGGCGGACGAAAAGCGTTTATTGTTAAAATTTAGGTATTTACACAATTCGCCCAAACATCTTAATCTCATTATGATATTTCCATAAAATAATTTTATATTTGCTTCTTAGACCATATTTACAAAACCGTCAATTTAGCTATTTATACAACTGTCCCCATTAGTTTTATATTTGCTTATTCTCACCTCAGTTATTTACAAAAATTGTACCAAGCGTATTTAATCAGGTGTGAACATAAGATAGCATTTGTAAAATTATCACTTGCACCCTCGTATCTTTTGGTTAAAGAAGACGAAGAATCGGGGATTGGCAAATGGCAAGTGTTAGACTCCCTTGGTCATCGTTTTGCTTTCTTGTCCAGTTGAAAAAGAAACAAGTCTTTTTATCTTCTCATAGTCGTCTCAGTAGACAGTAGTCCCCAAAAAATGGAATCTTCTTGACAATGCCTTTTACTGAATTGGTGCTGAAGTGGACCACTTGGACTTTTCTACATGACATTTTTACCAAATGTTACGAATCAGGTACTTAGTCTAATACTCTTGGATTGACATTACCACACTCTCATGTAGAAGAAGACGATATAGCCTCATTTTATACAATGTTTGTGGTGAAAGTATTTGCAAAAGGATAGTGTTTGAAGTTAAAGTGGTAGGAATAATAGATGCAGGATCAATATCTTCCTTTACATTCCTCTCTGAACGAGCATGTGCAAGAAGCCAAGAACAAGAACAAAACCAATACAATAACCGTTTGTCTGCAGGCTTTCTTGTTTCCTTCAAAAATAAGGGTTTTAAGTACAGAACAGAGATACTCTGTTAGAATTTAGAAACTTGGAGGACCACTAGATGGTTTTGATATGACTATCATTGCCTGAACAAGTAAAACGTCTATAACCTATTCTTACTTTCAAACTGGGCGTAGTGTTTATTTTCGTGTTTCTTTCTGATTGCTAACTCCCAACACACAAGTTTTTCTGGACACACAGCGTCCTATAACTAGACATATGTTACCCATTTGTTTCTTGCTATGGCTGCAATGTTTGTGCATAGATAACTTTTGATCTTAAAAGCAACTAAATTCTTACTGAGACGTATATAAGTTAGTGTCCTACCACTATAAATCTTTCTAGAGCCTCTCTTGATGCCCCCAAAAGGCACTCTCCTAGTTTTCACCTTTTCCTAATGAGCTTTAAATCTGGAATTTTCTTGTAGCTGAAGAAGGGAAGAGGGAACTGCAAGACTGAAGTTTGATATTTTATGCATAATTTAGAAAGAAAGCAAATGCAAGTGAAGATATTTCAATTTGACATACTTGCAGAGCTTAGTAGAATCCAGATGACAAATGATGTACAGACAATAAAAAATACATACATATAAGCATGTTTCTGGTACGCATCGCCTTATTATACAAAAAATCTGCTAAGCCGATGCAGGAAACCAGTCCACTACTGCTGCTTGCAAAATGGGTATGATCCAGGGCACTGAAAATATGTTTACAAACGATGCCCATTGCTATAAAATGGTGAGTAATACTTTTCTAACACACTAGTAAATTAGTTGGGTCTCTTGGTCTTTTTTTTTTTTTTCTTTTTCTTTTGCAGGTACAACCTTATACCTGTTTGATTGATTGATTACTTATAACGAAGGACCAAGAGCGATGCTACCGAAAGAACCTCCCATCTTCCCTTGAGAAGCTTCATGAACGCTGATCTTGATCGTGCGGCTCTGTGATGATCTATAAATGTCGATACATTCCTCAAGATCCGCTTCACATGTCAGAAGAACCCATTCCTTGTCATCATCCAGGTACTTAAGATCAAAGGGTGCAATATTATCTATGTTAAAACGCCTAGCAATCTCATGCTGCAACTCTCTGAACCCCCAAGTAGGGAGCAAGGTAAACCGTACTTTAGCCTCGCCAAATGTGGCTTTCACTTTAGAGGCCCCTTCAGCCTTCAACTTCCGGGTACTACTCTCCGGTAACCGAGGTAAGTTTTCGAAAAGAGGATGCTCACTGAATGTTTTGTGGCTCAGGGTTCTAGAGAGGGACTTTGTTTCCTCCTGATTCATGGTATGCAGTCTTACCTCACTACGAGCTCTCTTCAAGATTGCGCTAGCATTTTCAGCCATCAGAGTGGTTACTGTATTTGAGGTATTTCCAGTGTTGGTACTTTGATTAGCTCCAGTTGAACAACATGTGCTTGAACCAGAGCTGTGACTACAAGATGATGATGGAGGTGACCTTGGAGCTGCAGTAGTTACCTGTGCTGAAACACCGTTCTCAGTCTGAGCAGTTAAATTCCTTGACTGGTCAGTATTCTTGAATGAAGTGCCAGTACCAGACATATGTGGGGAGCTCAATTCTGGGAAACTTGTATAGAATGAATCAAGTTGAATAGAGCCTTGAACACCTTGAACAGAGTCTATAACAAGTTGGAGTTTCTTTAATGAATGCCCCACTTTCTTGATCTTCCGAGAAGGCCATCGTGTTATCCCATGTTGCCTGCATATTCTTTTTAAGGTTGTTGGACAGACTGCAACATAAGAATGAAACTGTGTGAGCCATCACTATCAGAGAAGTTGATCAAATGAACATAATAACAAGAAGTTTTCTTACCACCAATGCTCTTGGCTGCATCTTTGAGGCTTCCTGCAAAGTATTGTCGAAGAACTTGCAAACCAATTGTCTTTTCTGTTTTTGTTCTTCTCTTCTCACCTGGTCTTCTACTGCCTAATAATGTCTGCCCCACACCAAAGGAAGCTGATTCAAAACTTGGATCCATGTCGATTCTGAGTCCTGAATTTGACACCTTCTGAAACTGCTCAGCTTCTGAAAGAAAGTTATTGTGGCCTGATCCAATCTGATTGTTATCCCATCCAGAGGTGAGCATGAATTCTTCTTTTGGCTCTTCTTTCTGGTACTCCCAAGAAAGAGACACGCCTTTACCTTTCTCGTTAGCCTTGATCATGTGTGAGATCCATGAAGAGTCTTCTTGAGAAATTTCTTCCAAAGGCAAAGGTTTCATATTCTCTCCGGTTTGTGCATTAATAAGTGGGGTTTCTGCAAATACTACTTCCTCTCTAACGGGAAACACCACTTCTAGCTCTAGTTCTTTATCAATGACAAGATTTAAGCTCCTGAAATCTTGCTGCAGGGTCACAGACAGAGACTTGAGCATGTCTTGTTGCGCTTCGGTGTGAAGGCAAGTTTTTGGAAAGAAAAACTCCAACACAAATTCAACGGAACCATTGAATTTGCTTTTCAATGGGACTGCTAAAGCAGCATGTAGACCAGAGATCTTAGCATGGTGTGCAAGAGGATAGTTGGTCTTGCTAAAAGTGATTACTTCAGGCACGAAAAACAGTTTGGTTGCCTTGAATGCCTTTCCCACAATACCTTCCCCTTGAAGCAGATGGTGTTCAGAACATGCCTCTAGAAAATTACGACTCTGATGATCAGGGACAATGCAAGCATCATCTACAGTTGAAACACACTCTGAGAAGTTCTCATCAGAATGCCGGGATCCAACTTTTCCTTGCCGAGCACACGGTGCCCACGTTAAAGCCAGAGGCAGATCATATAATCTGCAGACCCATGTCAAAAACTCTGATACCTCAGGTAATGCTGCATAGTAGAATTCATTATAGACCTGCAGAAACTGAAACAAAAGGGAATATGATATTTAGCAACAAGAGTTCAAAGTTTCTGTGTGTTGAAATGTAAAAGTTTTGGTTTATGGGACCATTTTGACACACCTCTCTGCTTGGAGATTTCAAGTTTCTTGAACTCCTTAGATTAACAGACTACAAAAAACAAGAAACCTCTTTAGGCTACAATACACAAACAAAACTTCTCATTGAAGGATCTGGGATTAAATAATAGAAAAAAATAGGTAATCCAAGTTGGTTAAACATGTAACTGGATGATTTAGAGACATCAAGGGAAGAGAAAAACCTCGAGGGCTTTACATATATTGTCCAGCTCTGGCCTGTAATTCATCTTCTGAGTTGTTGTAACAATCTCAACAACACCCAAACAAGTCCCACTACCTCTTTCAAATACAGGAAGGGCTAATGATCCACGAACATCACATTTCTCTGCTTCTTTGATGCGCGGATACTCTTCGCTTCTAAAGAACCGCACATCAGGTGTCCACTCTGGTAATTTCCTAAGAAAAACACGGCCAGGGAGACCCACAGACTCAGTAGAATCCTCATCAGCTGGGAAATTATAAGCTACTGAAACATCTCTGTATCTTTTAAGACTTGAGTATTTCGGGTTGAAGAAGTGTGGCTGCTCCAAAGTGGTGAGAAAGTTCTTGCCTTCCTGTTGAATTGGAACCCATATCTGTATGAGGAAGTCTTTATCTTGCACTGCCTCGTCAAGTCCCTTTATAGCTTGTACTAATCTATCTTTCACTGATGAAGAAGGGCCTTGACTTGTTCTTGGAGCAATCCAATATCTTCTTCCTCCCTCAGTTTCTTCAAGGAGAAACTTCTCTGCTTGAGCAGAACTCATGGCTGCAGACTGGTCAAAAGGTGCCTGATTCATCGGCTGATTGGAGAGATCCTCGATCTTGAGAAAGCCCGGTGCTATTGGAGGAAACTTTTTCCCTGTTTCTTCATTGGAGATATGATCTTGTGAAGTGTTCCCAGCAAATTGATAGCCATAAAGGAAAGAGTTGTTGTTGTTGTTGTCATTCATAGTGGTAGAATCAGAAACTTGTTGTCCCATAGTCTGCTTCAAGCTCTTACCATCTGTAGTCTCAAGCCAACATCCATCATAGAAGAGTTCCTCCATGAAATCCATATCCATAGCCGTTTCAGAGAATGCACCAAAGCTAGAATTGGGTAAGAAACTGCCATCTCCACCACCACCTTCCATATCAAAAAATAAACTTCTTCTTTGTTTTAAAAAGTTTTTCAACCCCAAGACTCGTATCCACCAAAGGCTACAAAAACCCTCAAAAATTGTTCAGTGACTTGTTCTGCG